AATTTCAGGACAATGTCAGGGCAATTTCTGAATTCAAAATAGTGTTTGGATTTTCACTTACAAAATCTTTACTGCTTGATTTTGATCTACAATATAAGACAAATCTTCATTTATATCTTGATAGGATATCTTGGAGAGAAGACTCTATATGGCTCCCAATTGAAATTCTATTCAAATAGTTCAATTAACTTCTCTGACTGACTTCTAGCTGTTGCCAAGCATGAAGAATTAAACTGCCTATTCTAAAATGCGTCAGAAAGACCACATTTTAGAGTCTCCATCAAAAACTGACAAAGCATTAAAGAAGCAGCCCTGCCACTGCTGGGCCTGACTGCTAATGAGAAGAGAGGACTGTGTTCAGTGTCACCTCTGAAAGCTCCTGAAGCAAAATCAAGAATATCACAGGTTTGTAAGCACAGCCTGCAGCCAAGGTGTAGCATTTATGTACATCTTCTGGGTGTAAAACTTGTTCATTTCTTCTACAAAAGCCACTGTTACTGCACTAAAGTCTTTCATTTCCTCTGTCACTAGTGAATAGATGGTTACCCTTGAAGTTTGCAGGTTTTGCATGAAGGCATACCTGCTGAAATGTATTTCCATAGCCAAGTACTGCATGGAAAGGGTGGGTTTGGAGAGGGTGTTTTGGATCTTTTTCCGAAGCATGCATTTACTCCACCCAGAAATATTCAATTAGGCAGGTATGCTTCAGCAAGTTAAAATGACTTAAATCATCCCAAATGCCTGTAACTTCTGCCTTACTTGTTTCATTAGGAGAGAACACTGATATGTTAAATGCTTCCTTAGCCAAAAAATAAAGAAGAAGAATAAAATCCATTCACTGCAGCCTAAATACCTTTGATTTATGGATCTCTGATTCATCCTGACAGCTGCTTAAAAATTCATGTCAAACTCTGCATTCATGTTGGCCAGAAAAAGAAAAGAAATGTGTTAGGGAACAGGAGTGCCACAAAATGCAGCTCCCACTGTGGGTGTGTTTAATGAAAGGCAGGGGTAGCATTTAACTTGCCAGGGAAGCATCAGTACATGTTACTAGATCCTTTCTCTTCTTTAAATCTGTTGAGCAAATGTGTACTTGGGCATAAAAATGCACCTCAACACTGATGTCTCATTAAGTTATTTCCCTTCTTTAATTTGCATAGTTTTTGTGTATGTTGCAGCTTATGTGAAACTGAGATAATACAAATATTTTGTTTAAAAAGGGAGAAGAGAGAAATAAATTATTTTATTTTTCTTTTATTTTCTTCCTAATATGAACATACTTGAGATTAAAAACATAGCTTAATAACATGATTAATAAATAGCATTCTCTGTAATGTTTTGGAGAAATTATAATAACATCAGTAAAACATTTTTTAAAAAATCTGATTATTATTTGTCACTGCTCTGGTTATTTTTTCCAACAACGCTTCATTACAAGTGCTAATTTTTTCCAAGAAAATAACCAGGTAGCCTGAAATTTTAATTTATTAAGGGTTTGAATAAATAAAAGCAGCTGCTTTCCTCTTGGAATAACAGTGTCTTCTACGTTTTTATTTAGTATAGTAGTTTTATTTAGTATATATCCATGGCTTAGTGACCTGTGTCCAGAAATATATTAAAACTATTTTAAACATAATAAACTATAATATAATTGAACATAATTAAACACATTGTTAAAGTTTTTTAAGATGTGCAAGATTCAAGATGATTAAATCGTTAAGATACTACCTGTATGTTCTACTGGAAATGGGTTTGTCTCTATCTCCATTTTCATAGGCTTTCAGGTGATATCCATGCAGTGTCCTAGGTTGTATTGATGATGATGTTAATGGTCAGTACTGGCTAAGTCAGTTGGACAGAGGGCAGTGATTAAATTCAGTAATTTTGGCTGTGGAATTTTTCACTGTGGGTTTGTTGGTGGTTTTTTTTGGGCTATGCATGAGATTGGTTCTTTGGTTTTCCTGTAGAATGAATTTAATTTTTTTTTTTTTTTTAAAGACGGGGAAAAGAACAAAGGAAGCCATGTTGACAGCTAAGCCCTGCTCCAGACAATTTTTCTTTTTGACTGCAGGAAAATTACTGACATGGCACCAGTGCCCTTCTCAGCCACTTTGAGACTTGGCAAATTCTCCCTAGGCCATTAGGGTAATGTTTGCATTAGCCTTTTGTAATAAAAGAGTATCAGAAGAGTTGCAAGGCTAGATTTATCTTGACTGCTGATGGTGGACTCTTGGAAGAAAAAAATGAAGGGGAATAGCTGAAAAACAGTAATGCTTTATAGAAGAGTATCAGCAGGAAGGTTAAGTTTCCAGTCATGAAGATCTAAAACTCCTGACTCGGCCATACATTTGATCCTCTCTATTCATTGACTGACCTGTTCATAATCACGGAAGCATTATGATGGAAAGCCTCATGAAAGGAAGAGGGGTGGTGTTTGTACTTCTGCTCTTGAGACTTGAGAGAGGAGGGTTCAGTTCCCAGCTTCACAGCACATTTCTCTGAGTAGCAGCAGTCTGCCACAGCTATTTCAGTACCTCCAGTTATGCAGGCACCCAGCAGAATTTTATAAAGTTTCCACTACAATTAGTGTTTTCTGCAGAACACCACCCTGTGTATATCCAAACTCATGCCAAACACCTCATGGCCTTCAGCATCCAAATCCATTTGAAAACCTGGTTTATACCTCTCAGGGTTTCTTAGTGAAGAAATGTCTGACCTAGATTTTGAAAACCAGGATACAGTGCTGAACTGGTGAAGCTAACATTGGATACCAGCTTGGAGGGAGAGGGGTCCTGTTGAAAATGCAAGTCACCCTCCCATACCTCCATTTGTGGCTGAATGATCCCTTCCCATCTCCATGAATGCCCCTCTGAACGCAGTGCTTTCTCCTCCTGCCACAGTCAAAATACTGGCAGCCATGGGATTAACAACATCAGCCGATTTCCTGGGATTTCATGTGAAATTCTGAGGCCCCACCCCAGCATAGCTCTTTGAGTTCAGACACCCTCAGTTTGTACCTTTCTAAATGCCACTTTGTGATCATTTCATTTGCTATTGTTCCTAGCACATTTTTACATTACAATACATCCTGTCTGTCCTTAGCTACTTAGAACAACTGGCTATTGCAAAACATAGTTTAAGTGTAAAAATTGTCTACATGCTTGTTTCATGAAGTGAAAGGACAGAATATCCCTAATATTAAACTGTAAAGCAGTGATAGTTTATTTGTGAGGCCATAAAAGGCATTTAACAACCTGGTGATTCCCAGATAATTTCAGACCACATATATTATGTGGTCTTATACACAGAGGACTTTAAATTGAAAAGAAAATAGTTTCACCAATGTGTGATGCAATTAACATCAAACAGTGCTGTACAGAGAGGAAAATTAGTGTGGAGTTGAGAATAGCTAGATCAGTGGAGGGCCCAATTCACAGGATCGTGGCAGAAGGCTTGGCAGGACTGTAGGAAGTCCCTGCTTCATCCTGTTAGTGGGATTTTGCTGCCTCAGCTGTGCTGACTTGCATCCTTGTGGGGCCATGCTGCATGCAGTGTCAGGGACTGATATGGGCTGTGGAGGCAACTTTTTGTGGAATTAAACAATGATCTTTAAATTTGTATCAGTTGGAGAGTCAAGCTCCCAGCAGAGTCCCAAATTGCTGTATGGGCTTGGACTGTGGGGAGTCACTGGGAACATGTTGAGCTGCTCTTTGGTTGCCAGCCTAGTGCAAGAGCAGTGATGCTTTGGCATTTCCACTTGTGAAACCATGTGGGAATCTGTGATTGAAAATGTTTCTTATCTGGATGCAGAGTTTGGAGGGGCTTCTCTGACAGACTCATGACCCTGCAAAACACACTGTGATAAATGTTTATGGAGTGTTGGATGCAGTGTACCTCCCTTTTTGCCGTGTTTACAGCAATATCATCCAGATAAGCCTCAGAAGTGCTAGAAATCTGTGTTTATGTCAGCCCATGGAACACATTTTACGTATCCCACCAAGATTAGTATGTAGAAACACACTGTGTAACTGGTTTCAGTTGAAACCTTCACCAGATCCATCTGACTTCCCTCTTGGTAAACAGGAGGGAAGAGCAGAAGAAAGCACAGACAGATTTCTTTTTACTTTTTTTGCCAAAGCTGGACAAATCAGAGGGCTGGGCAATCACCAGCCATAGGAAGTTCAACAAGGAAAAGTGCCAGATTCTGCACCTGGAATGAGGCAACCCTGGATGTACAGACAGACTGGGGAATGAGAGGCTGCAGAGCAGTGCTGTGCGCAGGGACCTGGGGGTCCTGGCCGATGGAAAGTTGAATGTGAGTCAGCAGTGCCCTGGCAGCCAGGAGGGCAACTGTGTCCTGGTGGGCATCAGGCACAGCATTGCCAGCTGGGCAAGGGAGGGGATTGTCCTGCTCTGCTCTGCACTGGGGCGGCCTCACCTCGAGGGCTGGGGGCAGTTGGGGTGCCACGATATAAAAAAGACATGAAGCCATTAGAGAGTGTCCAAAGAAGGGCCACGAGGATGTGAAGGGCCTTGAGGGGAAATTGTATGAGGGGTGGCTGAGGTCACTTGGTCTGTTCAGCCTGGAGAGGAGGAGACTGAGGGGAGACCTCAGTGTGATTATAACTTCATCAGCAGGGGAAGCAGCACTGATCTCTTCTCTCCAGTGAGCAGTTATTGGACACAAAGAAATGGCATGAAGTTGTGTCAGGGGAGATTTAGGTTGGATATTAAGATTTTTCACCCAAAGGGTAGCTGGGCACTGGAACAGCCTCCTCAGGGAAGTGGTCACAGAGCCAAGCCTGACAGAGTTCAAGAAGCATTTGGACAAAGTTCTCAGGCACATGGTGGAATTCTTGGGATGTCCTGTTTAGTGTCAGGAGTTGGACTTCAGTGATCTTTGTGAGTCCCTTCCAACTCAGGATAATCTGTGATTCTATGATTGCCTTTTGGTGATCACTTGTTTTACTTAAGGGTCCCTTTCTCTCTCTGTCTGATAGGCTTAGAAGATGTTGTAGCAATAATGATTCCTGAACCCAAAGGAAAAGAGATAGTGAGCCTCCTGGAGAGGAACATTACTGTGATGATGTACATAACCATCGGGACTCGCAACCTGCAGAAGTACGTTAGCCGGACCTCGGTGGTGTTTGTCTCCATCTCCTTCATTGTGCTGATGATCATCTCCTTGGCATGGCTGGTCTTCTACTACATCCAGAGATTCCGCTACGCAAATGCCAGAGACAGAAATCAGGTGAGCAGGGCTGGAGTAACAGTTTGTGTTTCCAAAAAATCACCACAGGATTTATTGTAGAAGTAAAAGTTAAAGAAATTGTCAGTGTGTAGTAAAAACAGAAAACTAAAAGAAATCCCAAGAAAGTGAAAAGAATAGGAATATAAAAATGACTGGGAAAATCAAAGACTTAATGTCAGTATAGATGGGATTCAAGAAAAAAAAAAGAAATTAATTGTGTATGTATATTATGGGGTTTTTTTCTTATGCAAAACACAAAAAATAGAAAGATAATGTTTATTTGTGAAAATATTGTGGTACATATAGCCAAATGTTATAGCAATGTGTATAACTAAGGACCCTTGAGATCAAAATGCTAACTAAAACATTGTGAGGCATGTGTGTGTGAAGCAATGTTCATGGTGAGTGAAGAAAGCAGGGAAAAAAAACTATTCTCACTTTAATGCTTCCTTAGAAAGGTCTTGGGCTAGAAAGACAAATATGTCCCTCTTCATTTGACAATGATCACTGAACAGGACTGTAGTGATAATCACTAATTATTAAACCGTTGTTATTGGTTTTGGCATCATGTCCAAAGCCCTTGAAAGAGATAAAGAGCCTATAGAGCTGAAGAGAAGTCAGCAGCAGAGGTTTTATAAAGCACTGCCCATCTTTATGGTAGTTCAGCAGTGAATAATAATAGCAACAATAATAATAAATTTACTGTTTTCTTGGCCAGATGCAACTATCTCAGCAGAACTGGGAAGCTTAGGCTTGTACATTTCATTCTAATGGTATAGTAGAAAATGTTATCAATGTATGTAATTTGAAGAGATAACCATTTTATTGCACTGTAAAAAATGCACTGTATTCAGAGAGGTTTCTAAATGCTCAATAAATTACTGTCAGGGCCAGGAGGGCTGCCTTGCTTATTCTGCAGAAAAGGTAAAATTCAGAGTGTAAATAACCATCTTGTAGAGAAAAACCCTGTTACACGCTCTTTAACAAATACTTGACGTGTAGGAATCCCTCGCCTTCCCCCATTGAAATTCAGGCATCCTCTGAGATAGGGAGCAGCTGCTCTGTATTTACAGACAGAAAGAATGTATTTTCCACTTAAATATACAGTCTGGAATTTTGGATAGCAAGAATGAGACTGTCCCAGCTGGAATTTGAACATCATTGGCAGCAGATTCACTGTGACTGCAACGGCTGTGATAATTTTTAGATGCTTTGTCTGCAAAAGCACATGCCTGCCTTATTTGTGTGTGTAAGTGTGCTTTCAGTCAAGTAATTATACAGGCAGCTTAGCAGTGTAAATTGACATACATAAACATGAAACTCATCAAAATAAGAAGCTCATTCAGGTAATATAGTTTGAAACTGATGTGTTTATATGTTCAAATATATTTCCTTTTCAGTATTTTCTTTCCAAAGTTTGAATGAGACCACATGTGCACAAGCAATTGTCCTATGGAGGGGTTTTAATAACTTGGTTATTATACTAGTTCTGTTCTTTAGAAGAATTAGAAAGGATGCCTCCTAAGTAATTACATATTAATATTATTAATTTGGAGGTTAAAACTGAGCAACAATAAGGGGCAACCTAAAAAGTCTTCATGCAGTTTTCTTCATACAGTTTTGTCTGACATCTAATCTCTTTATTAGCTCTTTTCATATGAAAATGGTAGCAATATACAAACAAAACTCTATTATTTGTGTTAATGGGTTGGTGTGGCTTTTTAGTTTTGTCTCCTTTAGTCCTGGCTACAGAATTTAATGCTGTAGGTACTTCTGAAGAGCTCAGCTTGCGCTTGCCCTTCCCATGAGCATTCCTCTTTGTTTTCCATCAGGTTCTGGGGTTTTTTTTCTTTGACATGTTTTCTTGTAACTCAAGGATGGGATCACAAATTTCTGATTAAAATCATACTGTCCTTTTGTCAAGCCTCATAAACACTTTTGTCTAGTCCTTCTCTGTCTGGTGACTCTCCTTTCCAGGTGCACTTCCCTTCTTTCATTAGGCATAAATTTTTGAGCAAGCAGTAAATCCAAAACAAAGTGATTTAATTATCCATCAAGAAAGCAATGAGTCCAGCTATTGAGAGAGGCAGCTAGAAAGACTGAAAAATCTCCTGGAATCATTTCCTGTGACTCCACAGTGAGATGAAAACTGGACATAGTCCATCTACATCTTCAGCCACCACTCTTACTCATCACGTGTGCAAAATCTAAGATCATGTGCCAGAAGGAAGACACAGCTTACTCCAATTAGGTGCCTGATTTTTATGAGTGGAGAATTAGGATTTCAAAGATTCTTGCTGAATGCCAGGGTCTATTCATCCCCACTTGGCTGAGAATCAATGCAGTGTTTTCCACTATGGGCTTGTGCACCTACAGCCAGGGTGTCAGCTGCAAACATGGTGAGATACTAATTTTTATTTTAATACATTTAATTTGTAAGAGTATCTCTAGCACTGGCAACTGTACATTATATATGGAAGTAGAAGATACGTAGTAGTATTCACATGATTGAACCTTTTTTTCTCACGTAACGAGATGTCCAGGAAGTTGGTGGTTGCCTTGATGATGAATCCTTTTGACATGAATAGAATAAATTTGTGAGAAGAAGAGAGCATCTGTTTCCTCAGCAGCTTGTTCCTGGAAGGCTACTGAAGATGAGAGAGTTGAGAGATTTTGTAAAAGGCTGTGGAAATCTTTTAAATCAAGAAATATCACATTGTAGAGCTAATTAGAAGCAGAATTAGAATTACATGACAAGTTAAGTTCCAGAGATAATTCAGCAAAATATGACCTCATGTTACAGCCCTGTAACAGCCAGGGCACAGACTTAAAACAGGGCATAGCTACAACAACAACAAACCAACCCTGTCAGTCTGTCAGAGCTTTTCATATTTCACCAGTAATACTAGAGTTCTCTTTTTATTGTTTGTGACATGAGAAAATGAAGAGGTGGTGATGTTTCAGTTCCAGACTTATTTACCACATTTTTCAATGTCCCTTCTTTCCATTGGCTTCTTGTTCAGAGGAAGTTTTCTACACAGTCATTTTGAAACTGGTTGTACTCCTTAAGTTTTGCAGGATAGTGGAAGCCAAAGCAGGTAGTGATTGCACTGGACTTGAGGAGGATCTTGTGTCCCAGGTTAATCTTTAGTATGTGACTGTCAGCATGTAGAGCATTTATCTAAGAAGGAAGACTTGAGGCTGTGGCTTGGAATGAGAGTTTTAGGCCACTGTACAGGGATGTCAATCTTTGAAGCAATTTGGGAAGATGCTTCCCATGATGGAGTCTGCAGCCTTTGTCTGTGGTTACATGTCCAATACCTCGTGCTGGTGATGCATCTCATTCTGCACAAGGCACAAGGTGATCTCCTTGCAAAGATGATAGTTTAGTAAGGCCATTAAGGGAGAAGAACTTACTGTAACTTTTCTCCTCCACAGCATCTATGGTCATTTACTTTCTCAGGAACACATAAGTGGTGCTTTCCATGCGACTGTCCTTCGTTTTTAATGAGCATTGCCATCTCCTCAAGACCACTGCATCTGACATGCTTAACTCCTTCCAGTCCAGTACTGAATGTTGCAGCATTGCTAATGAGATTATGAGATTTATGACTGTAAATCTCTAAGCCTCACTTTAAACCCTTAAACTGCTGTAATGCCTCTTATCTTTTGGGAAAAATAATTGATTATTGATAGCATGCCTTGCTGTTCAAATGGGAGAATCCTTTGAAAGTATTACTTTAGTCCAAGAAATCCCTGTTCTTTCAAAAACTAAATTACTCTCATTTATGTGTAAGTTATGAACTTATCTATTTACGATGGATAATGCAAACATGAAAGCAAGCAAATCAAAGATGTACAGGAGTTTTTGATCTTGTCCTTTCCCCTTCAAGAATGTGCAAAAAAGAACGAGGCATTTCATTCATTAAAGTAATAATATTGATGAAAAGGGATCACAAGCACTTTCTGAAGCATGACATAATGGCTCTTGTCTGGCTGTATGTTATCAGTCTTTGATTTACATTAAAGAACCAAATAGCTGACAAGAAATGTTTTCAACTCTCATTGATTCTTTTATTTAAGGGAGACTCTGAGAAAAATGGACCACAGAAAGAGATGTTGTCTAACTACAAGATACTCCTTCACATGCAATAATTAAGTTGCTGGAAAGCTCATATGTAAATCTCCTGATAGTCAAGATTGTTTTCACCTCCTTAGCCATATCTGAAATTGCACTCTGCTTTCAATGTTGCATGTCTTTTGTCAGCCTTTCCAATCCAACAAGCTTACTCTGTAAATTTAATCTAGTGATTTTAATTGAATGTGACCAAAGTGGCAATTTACTGGTCATATCTGTGTGGTGATTAGGTCTCAACTTATAAATTGCCTCAAACTTCCTTCTGTCTTTGGCCTCATGCTCTCGCCCCCTCCAGCTGGAAGCCCTTCCTGCTGACAGTCCCCTCTGAACTCTGGCACAGGAATTTCCCAGCTCAGAAGGTTAAATGTGTTCTGAATCACCAAAGGCCCCAAGTCTCCTCTCTAGCAACACATGGCTGGAAATGTGGTTGGGGAGAGGAGGTGAAGGGAAGAGTTCAAGTCATTTATTGGTGGCAAATTGGAACATGCTGTACCATGAACTGTTACAAAGATGACATTGGAGTGGACATTGCTGCATGAAACCATGTGAGAGAGGCATAGAAGAGATGGGGAGTGCCCAGAGAAGGGTCACCAGTATGGTCTGGGGGCAGAAGCACATGGCGTCTGAGGAGGGGTCAAGGGAGCATACTAAGCTGGGCGGGGAGCCAAGGAGGAGGAAGGGCTCTGCTTCCAGCTGCAAAAAGGGTGGTCAGAGAGGAGTCAGAATCAGCCTCTTCCTGGAAGTGCACAGAGTAATGGTCACAAATTACCAGAAAGGGAAATTCCATTAGTATGTTTAGAGAAGAAAAAATGCTGAGATTGGTTAAGCACTGGAACAAATTATCCACAGAGATTGTGAAATCTCCTTTCTTGGAGATAGTCAAAACTCAACTAACACAGTTCTGACTTTGAAGTTGACCCAGTCTTGAGCAGGGGATGGGAATGCATGACCTCCCAAAGACTTTTCCAGCCTGTGAGTCTGTCTCCAGACTGCCTTGTTGCTGGATTAGCACAAGTGAGCAGCCAAGTCCTTGGAGCATGATACAGGAACAAGCTCTGTAGCACAGGGTGCTGACCAGTGACTGTCTGAACTGCCCTGCAATGTTCCCAACCTCTTAGATATGTCCATTTGCAGTGTCTGAGGACAGGGTGTTTTGTGTCGGGCTGTTATTACATACTTTAATCCTGGTGGCTGTGACCCTGCCAGCACAGTAACAGTGTTTTGGAAATATGGGAGAACAGTCAGAAACATGATGTGGTAATCACTTTATGCTGCACTGGAGGGAATGATAGAAAGGCAAAGAATGATCAAATGCTTATGTATGGACAGGAAGTTACTGCAGGACTATATAGTGCTTTACCTGTAAGAAACTGCAGATGCTTCCACCTCATTTTTATAAAGCAGGCAACTCTGTATTGCAGGAAAAAATACAGGAGAGATTATTCAGAGTTTTTGTTGTTAAAAAATTAACAGCTCACTTTCAGAAGTTGTATCCTGCTAAAGATCATGAACTAGTTATGGAACAATGTAAGAATAAAGTTCAGCATTCACTCTGCTAACTGCCCGGTATTTTTTTTTTTAACAAGTGCCATTAAAAAAAGAGAGGGAAGAAGTAGGACAATCAAATAATGGACTTGTTGCCTACATTAGTACGCACTGCTGCAGTGTAGCACACCTATGGTGCCCATTTTATGAATTATTATGTTTGTATTTATACACTATCCAGTTCCATGTACTTAAAATTATTAAGAAGCCTAGAGAGAAAAAGTTTTGATTTCTGCATGAAGAGATGCTCTTTGCTTAAGAGCAAATTTTGTATTGCAGCGCCGGCTTGGAGATGCTGCGAAGAAAGCAATCAGCAAGCTGCAAGTCAGGACGATCAGGAAAGGTGACAAGGTAATTTTTGCAAAATTCTTGTTACTAAATTAAACTCTGTGCTGAGGATTCCTTTAGACCTCTGGGACAGAGGCAGAACAGAAATGCCAATTGCTTATTTAGTACTGTCTCCTTCAGGTGGGGAAGGAGTGGAAGTTAAATGAAACAGAGTGGGGAGAGAGGGTGATTCGGTTAAAGATGCAGAAAATTCTGAAAGTTAAAACATACTAACTAAATCTGCATGCTTCCCAGTGCAAGTTTCCAGCTGGAAACACGTCAGAAAATCTGACTTGCTGGTTTTGAAATGCATTACTGGATTTGCAGTCTGCTTCAGTGAGTGTTTTACTTTGTCACATAGCCTCTTATATTAAGAGATTAGCTAACAAAATAAAAAATGAATATGATGAATATTCTCTTCCCTGTAGGAGACTGAGCCAGACTTTGATAACTGTGCTGTTTGTATCGAAGGCTACAAGCCCAATGATGTTGTCAGGATATTGCCTTGCAGGTAAATTGAATGTGCTTTTAGCTCTAATAATCTCTACTTCAAGACAGTCTCTGCTCTCAGTTTCACACTGATGAGATTACCTGAGAACTTGGGGAGGGAAGGGTGAGTTTATTATTTTGGCCTATTCCAAATCTGTTGGTAAAGATAGCTGAAATGCATCTTTATTCTACGTGAAGTGAAACTAGTGATGGTGGTGAGACGCTGAGGGTTTAGTATGGTGGAAATTTTATCCAACCTGAGCCTATAACAAAGTCTTTAGTAAGATTTTTAAACAAAAGTTTTGATTTGTCTGTTTTCCTCACTGTTTTTCTAATTAGAATAAATGCCTTAGGAGAATTTCCCTCTGACTTGAGAGTGAGCCCTGGCCACAAGCATCCAGGGATAGAGAAGGCTCCTGCTCCCCATTGGGCTACTTCTTCTGCTGTCCTGGGCCTGAGAAAAAGATGGTTTTTGACAGGAAAAATCCCCAGCCATAGAAAGAGATGCCTCATGTGAAGATGCCCTGTGCAGCACATCCACCCGCAGTGATGTGACACAGGAGTGCAGCCTCTAGCCATCCCTAACAGCTGTATTCATCTTGTGCTACTGTACTGTCATATGTGAAGTGTTACCTAATGGAGGATTTCTCTGAGGAAATCAATTTCTTGAGAAATTTCCTAGGATCAGTTGCCCCTAGGAGAGCAACAGCAAGTGTTTGATTTCCATAGAAATACAGATATGAAGTGCTGCACATATGGAGCAGAGATTTTATTATTTTCAGTAGAACTTATTTCTTCTCCTGAGTCATGTTAACTGGCTTGAGAAACCAAAATACTTGTTTATTTTCCCGTTGTGTTGTACCCTAGTAGATATTTGAATGTTACAAGCTGTCCATTTCTGTTACTTCATGTGATTCATTAAATCTGTTTACTGCCATCACTAAATGGCTAACACAAAGCAACAGATTAATCATAAATTTGACCTACTGTAAATCCCCCACAATGACAAATTGCATGTGAACTCTTTTCTTTTTTGTGAGCAAACACAAACACATCACTTCATGAGGCAGAAATACAGAAAAATGAGAAACTACCGGAAAATGTGGACCTTGGTTTGGCATCAAGCCTTTTTGCACAGAAGCAGAATAAAGCTTGGAAATTTTGCATGATAGAGACAGGCAGTGTTTTGAGGTAGATCTACAACAGTTTAAATATATGTCTAAGCTTTAGCTTTCACTTGTGTCCCACCTCATAATTCAATGAGCCTTTGTCATCCACGGCATTGCGTCAAGCAGAGTGAATAGGAAACACAGAGTTAACAGGTGGTGTTTAGTTCTTGGCTGACTTAAAAGGTCACCCAGAAAATGACTCATGCTAAAAGGGTAGCAGTAGCTGAACTGTCTTGTAAAATACCCACACTTTGAGCCTTAGTAGTTGGGAATTATAAAAACTCTTAAGATCTTTCTCAAGCAGCTATTTCACCAGCCCTGGCTTTCCTGCTACACATACTGCAAGGGCAGTGTTTTACATACTTGCACGGGTTTGAACTTCTGAAAGATGAAATGGTACACCTTATTCTTTCTGCTGTTTTCAATCTCATCTCCTCATCCAAAACAAAAAGGAAAGTGGATTCATTTCTGTTTCTGTGAAGTGAGTAGGAGTGTTATATCTTGACAAAGACCTACAGACTCTGTAGTTTTCCTGCTCCAGTATCCTCAGTTAAGCCGTGTGCATTTTCTAACATGGGAACCTCATTAAACTTCCAGTATAGCAGTGGATGAGTTCTGAAGTCAAAAAAATACGTGTTTACTAGGACTTGGGCTGTTTTCCCAAATGTCCTCTGTTTTCTGCTGGCACTGGGATAGTTGGTTTTATGTACCCCACTCTGGAAAGCTCAGAGGAGAATTCCAAGAAAACTTGTGCTTCTTCCTCTTTGTCTTCATCGGGCAGCTCCCACAACTGACTGAAGTAAGAAACTTCACAGAGTGCATTACATAAATAAGGAATGACACTTGATAAAAGTATAGTGTTGACTTGCAGCTAGTTTTAAGTTTAATGGTAGCAAACATCTCTGAAGTTGTCTTTAAGGGCATTGACACAAGATCAAATGTAACCAAGTTCAAGGTTCCTAGAATGACATATCTTGTCACAGCCTTACTTCATTCTGCTTGTCTTCCATCTCCAGTTTCAAAAACCATTTCCTCTTCTGCTGTAGCTTTGGAGAAAGTACTAGTCCTGCTGCTCCCAGTCTGTGCCTTTTACTAAACTTTTACTTTAAACTTCTATAGAGAGGCAAGAGATTTCTTTCAACCTTATTTCTACTGAGTGCCTCATAGGTTCTCTTTTTTGCTGTTTCATTTCTTTCACCAATAAACACATTCTCTGACCTCACTCCAGGTCATTCTTTTCCCCTGAACCTTCACTCCATGAACAACTGTGATTTCAGAGAATTATCACTCCTGCTCTCTCTTTTTATTAGCTTCTGTGAAAATTATTTCATCACACACATTCTTCCCTTTGATTCCTTCCTTTCACCCTCATCATCTTCTTTTGTCCTCCTCAGAAGTAAATAATACTGTACAAGCACCCCCCAAAATCTCCAACCTTCTTGTTGGATACTACAGTGCTACTCAGTCTCTCACTAATAAAAATTCTAAATCCTTTATTTCAGCCCTAGGTCTAATCCAGGCAACTGATGCTCTTACTCTAAGGTTCAGGGATGTTTCTCTCTTTCTGCATAGGTGAGACTAGGAGTGGTAGGTGGGAGGAGAATAGTTTCCCTTAATCTGGAAAAAAAGCCTCTCAAAATTGTTGGCAAGCTGAACACTTTACAATAGTTGTACTAAAATTATTATTATTATTATTATTATTATTATTATTATTATTATTATTATTAGGGCTGAGTGTGGCATGATTTTTTTCTTGTATGATTAAAATTGCATCTTTAAAAAAAAACATAAATACATTTCAAACAAAAGCAGTGTCTAGTTTAAAAATGTGAAGTGCTATTTAGATAACAATAAATGGAATGCTCTGGGACTTTGAGGTTCTTTTGCTTTGTGCTCTGTGAGCTTTGCACAGCCATGTGCAGCCACAGGAGAGTGCAGCACAGGAGGGATCCCAGGAGGCCAGCACCTCTGGAACAGCACAGGGGCACTGGCACGCACATGTCGTTCTTGGCAGCTTTTTCCAACACACACTGCAGTCTCCTGGGATGAAGAAAGCAAACCCCCTGATAATTTATTGCAGTGCTTCGTTACCTTGGCTGTGGTGAAGCCTTACTTATTGTGTAACCTGGATCTCACTTGCTACAGTTTAAACATCATTGTGCTTCTTATCCCTGGGCAAGATGGTGAACAGTTGTTTCCTTTCCCTTATAAAAATCCTTTTGTATGAGGTTGGGACAACATCTCACCTTCCTCTCTGTCAACTCATCAATTGCAGTTCTTTTGAGAAACTTTTCAAATCAACATAATTTTGCAATGAATGTGGTTGCACACAATAGTGAAAAAACCTGTATTTTTTTCTAGCTTTGACTTTGATTGTCAAAGCTATGTCCTGAGCCCGAGTTTGAAACATCTCTTACTGTCTTGCTGTATGGGTCATTACTTCTGAAATCACCCATGATGGCTCTATCCTCTCCTTCCATTTAAAACTTGCATCAGTCAGAACTGCAAAGGGAGGGATTTTTGTTGCAGTTGGTCTTTTGACATCTTTGTCTTACCACGGGACAGTGAAATACTACAGTTGCTCTCGTCTTACTTTATGTTGACCCTTCTTTTGCTTGAATTTGGAACATAAAACAATTGACAATTTGTTGTTGAATGCCATAAGCATGTACATAGTGCTATACCTAATAAACTTTCAAAACCAAATCTGCAAAGCCTGCCACCTTGCTTTTCTGCGCAAATGTTTACATGTTCAAAACAGATATTATAAGAGCTCTAATTTTATAATGCAGTACAAAAATTTTAAAAGGCAAATCTTCATCTGATATTCTGTGGCATTCCATTATTCTGTGAATTTCTGTCAAATAATCACGTTCCCTCTGTAGTACATATTAAATCTGAAATTAATGGAGTCATAATACACTGTGCTAAATTAGTATTGAGATGTGCAAAGTGACAAGATCTGTCATGTTTTTAAATTACTTGGATTTATTTTAGAATATTGTTTTTGAAGCCAACTTTAGGAATACTGAACTTCAGATTTTAAACTCTTTAAGGCATGAAAGTGTTCCAAGCTTTTGATGCTGAACAAACATCATGAAATTCTCTAATATGAACCCCAGTTTGACTGAGGCTTTCAAAGCTGGAAATTGAAAACGAAAGGGAATTTTCTGGTCTATGGTAAAAAGTCTTGGTGGAAACTATGTATTTTTTATTCAAAACAGATTTTGGAAATCTGTTTTGTTTTCTGAGAGATTAATAAATATCTCAGGTTTTGTAAATGGACTGATTATTTTGGCACAAATGTGCTTCAGATGTTTGCCAATAAGCATATTTATGAATTTGATTATATAATTAAAGAAAACCAATCACTAACAACAATTTCTTTATTATTTCATGTAGCTGAAAGGTAAGACATAATGAATTAACACTGAACTAACAAACTCAAGAAAATCCATTGGTAAGACTTCTAAATGTAAAATTACACATGCCTAAGAACTGTATCTTTATGCTTTCACCTATTCAGAATGCTTGCCTGATAGTGTGCTGAACATGCCCCTCCTAAGATAGAAGGAAGGAAATTTTAAGCAGGACAGACACCAAAATCTGGTTCATTTGTTGTTATCCGTTAGGTCAGGTTGTGTTTGGAAGTACAGCTGTGAACTTCAGTAGCCTTAGTAAAGTAGTGGCTTAAACTTCAAATATCACAATGCTTCATTTGATTAATCATATTGACATACAGGATCAAATGAGGCTTGATACCCCAGCCAGCTGATATAATTAGACTAGGTCGAACTTCCAAGAATATGTTTGCCCTTTGCCATAGTTGTATAAAGTGACACAAAGCACAGGACTGCAGTAAGTTGCCATGTAGTGACACATCTGCTGACCCATTCAGCTGAATAAGTACCTGTTAAATATTTAGAGTTATTTTGCTACATTAGGTGACTCTGGCTTTCTCAGAGATTGCATTTCCTCGTAGAGACTGGTATGTTGCCTGCTCCAGGCTGAGCCTTTGGATCCTACAGATATTTAGGTATTTCAAGTCTAACAATAGATCCAGCACTGCCAAGCCCACCACTAAAGCATGTCCTCAAGTGCCACATCCACACGTCGTAAAATACCTCCAGGTAACACTTCCTTGGGCAACCTGTTCCAATACCTGACCACCCTTGGGGTGAAGAAATGTTTTCTTGTATTCCTAGTAAAAGAGTATGATCTCAAGAGAGAATACAGTCTGCCAGTCAGGTACACACATTGACTATCTCTACAGTCATTATCAGTTTGTTAAAGGCAAACCTAAACAAGAAACTTTCAGGTGCTCCAGCTGATTGATGTCTAGGAAAAGTGGTGCCCAGCGGCTACAGGGCTCAGGTAGTTGCTTGGTAGTCCCTTCAGACTCAGAACAGGATTAACAACAATTCCTTCAGGGAACTACGTAGGAGCTCTCTCTGATGGGCAGCTTCTAAAGAGCAGGGAAGTCAGAAAGGATATTTATAAAAGCATTGTACTGGTTTTTCTGTTTAAATGGAAAGTATTTTTTTTTCAAATTAAATTTATTTCTTTTTGCCTCTACCCTGAAAAATACTAGACCCTCAATGGCTTCACATTTAAATTGTGTGTAATTCAGGTTTGTCTGAAGAACTATTAAGAATAACTAGCATGATTGTTACCTTTTCCAGCAAGCAGCTTTTGTTTGCTGGCAGCCTTTAACATTTAAAGGATATCATGTTTGCTAATGCATTTTGTGTATTTTCCCTAAATCTCTTAAGTATGTACTCTTCTATTCCAAACACATTGAAATGTGCACATGTGCTTCAGTTGCTGCAGGAATCATTTTAGCCTTATGTGCATAGGATCTAGTTCTACAGTCGTTGAAGAGGTCACAAACTGCACCAGTTGAAATAATCTCGCTTGAAAGAATTGAAGCTCAAGAATCATCTGGTACTAAATGGTAAATTGTGCTGTGGTGCATTTGTATTAAGATATCCTGGTTTTCATTGCAGGCATCTTTTCCACAAGTCCTGTGTAGACCCCTGGCTGCTAGACCATCGTACCTGCCCGATGTGTAAAATGAATATTCTAAAAGCTCTAGGGATTCCGGTAAGCACTGCAGAGCAGCCCATCAGGGCAGAAGGGAAACACCAGCCACCTGAGTATATCCCTAGCCTTGTCCTGTCTGTTCCCATCTTACTCTTTTTGCCATATTATTGAATAATTAATTGATTTATTAAGGGAAGTACAATTGGAAATGTCTGATTCTACCTCTGTCCTGCACCCCACTAGTATTAGCAGGGAAGAGTGTTTGTGTGATTGTTGGTTGGGATTTGTGTGTCTGTGGCTGCCTGCTAGGTGAAGCAGAAGATTGTTCACTGGTGTTTTGGTGGATTTATAGACTCTTTCACATAGCTTTTAGGACTGGATTTAATTTTTTAATCATGCCCTCGGTTCAAATCTTAAAGCAGAAATTCTGCAAATAAAATCTTCCCTGCTATACTCATCAAGGACAACAAATTGCTCATTCTGGGGAAACAAGTCCTTTTTCTGTCAGATTTCTCTTAAAGTCTATCTGAAGCAAGGTCTCTGCTTCTAATTCCAGTTAAGGGCCCTTTTTCCCAGTTACTAAGCATGTGGTGGAGCACATGACATACAAGAAATTGTTAAGCTCTTTGTTATTTGGAACATTCAAATGTGGTTAGAAACTGCAAAAGTAATTGATCTTTCTAAGTCGCATGTTTGTGTTCAGATGGTGTATGTCCTGTCTGCCATACACTTTCCCAGCTGGAGCTATCACCAAGCTCAGGGGCTTCACTAGGAAGGAGTGAGTCACTGTCCCCCACTGTGCAAGGCTTGTGAAGTTCAATACTGAAACACCTCCAGTTGATGCATTACCAGGTGCTGTAAATAGCCCCCCGAGTTTCAGTCAGTGATGCACCAGTTCACATTTGAAAGAGCTATATAAAGTAAAATAGTTCACATGAACGTATTGGGGAGCTGGTATAGCCATTCTCAGAGAAATCAGTTTCATGGAGACGAGGAAGCAGGTTGCAGGCAGATATGTTAATAAACCTAATATAATATAATCCAAACTGAAAACATGCAAAGTGGAAAAAGAAGGAGGGCATTGTATCTAGGGTAATTCATCAAAACAGTTTGGCTACTTTTTCTGCTAAATGTGTATATTGTCTTTAATATATTTAGAGGTGATGCAACTGTTAAATCGGGGCTTAGGATCAAAAGCCCAAACAAAGGCTAGCTCTGCCATTCAGCATCTCTGCACCTAGGCTTAAATACAGAAATATTTCCTCAGGTTCTATCTCAACTCACAGGCCTGCTATGAGCAGTTACACAGGGTTCTGACACCTCTTCTCTCTACCCAGTGTATTGTTCCATGGCTTCCCTGTGCATTTGACAGCACCATACCATTTCTGCTCTCACACTGGCCCGTTCACATTTTTGCCCAATTTTGTCCAATTTTGTCATTAATGTGCTCTTTGTCCAGCTTCGTAATCAGGGCATATAGGCAAACCAGAGCAATGCTTTCTGGAGGCCTGCAGTGAGATGTTAAAGGCTTCCCAGAAAGTTTAGTACTGTTAGAATTTACATCCAGAACACGGCTCTCACTGGCTTCACTGGCTGCTGCTGAAGGCTAAGCATGTCCACAGGCTGTTTGAGGCTGGGCACAGCTAGTGGAATAAAAAACATGCCCAGAGGCTATGTGTAGAAGTTTTGGTTTACATGGCTTGATTTCATTGCCTGTGAACAGCTCTGTAGTGGCAGGTGTAGAAATACCTAAGTGCCAGAAGTAATTGAAACACCATTTCCTCAAACACTTTCCCTTCTCTTAGCTCCCTTTCCTCTGCTGTACTGTACAGCAGAACGGGGATCTAGCCTGCTGTCCTCACTGAGAGCTTTATGCTTGGAGCTTCTTTGGAAATAATTGTACTGAGCATGTAATTAAAGATGCTACTGTAACCTACATGAACAACTGGTTCAAATTAAGATTTCCAAATCAGCTGTAGTGTTGATCTGTCTTAATACTAAAAATAAAGCACTTGGATGTGATGTTAATGTTCCATTGGCAAAGTTTTTTTTAGGGGATTTTGTTGTATGAATTTCTGTAAAAATTTCCTGTAGGTTATTCTAAGACAACTAGCTGAAAACAGACCTCTTCATCTCTTGGAGGAAGCATATTGGCGTACATGGATCATTGGATATGTTCATGAAGGGAGAGTCTTGTCCCTCAAAGTGACTTACAGTAGGAGCTGCTGTCCATGGGAAATTGGAGTAAATGGTAGCCTTTGTGTCAGGTTTCCTCTGGTTTACAGCAAAGGAAGTGGAGGTATAAGAGCATCTGGTAGCTTGAGGGTTAAAACTTCCTATACTGCTATCAGTTGCTCCTCTTCCCCTCTTTTTTCTACCTTCTCTTTCTGAAATACACCTCAACTCCTGGTTTGTTCCTTTCCTACCTTATGCTCTCTCCTGCTTCTCCTCTGCATAACCCCTCCTGCCCAACCTGTGTCCTTTAGAGCTCCTGCTCAGCTCCCAGGACCTCTTTTCTACCTGCACAGAAATCATGTTGTCTTCACCCTTCTCACTGCCCAGCACCAGCTGAGGACAGCCCAGGGTGGACATCATTCCTAAGGTGTGCTTTCTGGTATTCCCATAAACCAAAAAAGCCACCAGCACACATGAACTGGTGTTTTTAGAGACTCATCACTTAGCCAGATGTCCATAGGCTGCTGTGGGAAAAGATATTGCCCTCAAGGAACCTGTAAAGTTCTAGGGCTTCTCTGTGAAAGGTGGCAGACATTTCTGTAGAGTGGGTAAAGCAAAATGTCATTTCCTAACCACATTCTTGAGTCTTGTTGAGCCCTCTTAGCTGAAATTTCCACTCACAAAAGAAGAAAAAAGCCTGAGGCAGGCATCAGCCTCTGATGGGAGACTTGGGTGCAAATTTGCAAAAGCCATTTTGGACGCTTTTACAGTAGGAGGAATGAGGAAATCTTACTGTAGACAGGCTATGGAGTTTTTTTCCCTGCCAGCTGCATGTGTGTCCTATGGTTGTTATTAAAGATCTGGCTTGCTTGTCTGTGGGTATATTGTACTTCATTTAGCAGGAAGACTTTGGATTTTCTAGGAAAGGATTGGTTAAACCCAAAACACCTAAATGTTTCAATTCAATTCACAACTAAATTCTGCATTTACTTTGTAATAGAAACTTCAAGTATTATCTGCCCTAAGTTCAGATTCCCCAGGCATCCGTGAGGCATCAAAACTCCTGCACTCATTTTCACAGTCGCTGAGCACCCCAACACCTTCACTTTTCTCCACAGCACTCTGCAGCTCCAGAAGATTATTAACTATCTACCAGCAAATGGTTGGCCTGACCTTTTCCACTCTTTCCTGGAAAATCCAGCTCAGACTACACCTGCAATATTTGAAAAGGATTATTAGTGAAAGTGTCTTTCAAAGAGCTACTTTGCTATTGGGATAATCATATCACATGAGGTAGTTTCGCTCTGCTTCTTCCTCTTTCCTGCAAACATCTGCTGGATATGCAGTCACTTGCATTTTTGGCAGCAGATTGTATGACTTGAAGCTATTCACTAAGAGCCTTAGCCAAACCCTCTGAAGTCAATACAAAGCTCTCCTTTGACTTTAGTGTGCTCTCAAAGCACTTACATGCAGGAAACAAGTGAAACCAATATAATTAAACTTAGCAACTGTATCTGGGTCACTCTGGCAGCCAAAGCCATAATGGTTTGGGTTTGGTTTTTTTGTTTTTTTTCTGATCAGTATTTAATATAGTTTTACAGCATGCTCTTAGTTTTGGGTATTTTTTTCAATTGAAATTATTCAGGAGTAAAGAGATTAATTACATCAAGCAATATTATTTTTGCATCTTTTATGTTTGGTTTGACTTTCAATTATAATCCCCTCTTCAATAGGTTTAAAAGTTTGTGATAAAACCCCATTCTAGGAATAACTGGAATCAGAGCAAAGGACAGACACCTGCTCCCCTGAAAAATTGAAATAATTTTTTCTATAGGAGAGAGAAAAATAGGCCTTTGTTTTTAATATACACTGCCATCAAAAGTAAATTAAATTTAAAATGACCTTCTGAAAACATTGTTTTATAATAGCTAAGAGAGAGGGAAAGAGTGATAGATCTAAGGGATAATTTTGGGTCCCTGTCCTACAGATAAGTTATTGGTACTTCACTTGGAAAAGTACAGATTCAATGAGTTTCATTAACACCTGGTATAGTTGAATGTGCCTTTTTTATCCCAAATCTGAGGCATTCTTGCTGCTTGTGGATTAGACTGGAGCCAGACAACAACAATTCTAGTTTTCATTCCAAACTGGAGTTTGTGGATCTGAGACTGCTTAAATTGCCTGTCTTTTTTGTTAGGAACACGTATGAAAAAAACACTTAAGAGGTGACAACAATCAAACATGGAATGTGTGGAAAAAGAAAACATGCTAAGTTCCTGATTCTGGGGACAAAAAAAAAAAAAAAAAAAGTAAACATATGGTAACCTTCTGTGCTTGAATTCAAGGGGATTTCTCTTGTGCTTAAAGTTAAATCTCTCTTTAAGCCTCTGCTGTATTATATTTTGCTTAGTTTCTTGGTGCCTGCTGTTGGAGATAAGCAGATAGTGAGATTTTCCAAAGTGCCTTGGCATGTGAGACAACTAAGCATAGGAAAAAAATCAGATCCACCAAACAGAGTACACCTCCTCTGACATTGGCCATTTGAATGTTGGGTTTCCAGTCCAGCAGCTTAAGCCCTGTTTCTGCTTAGTGCTGAGCAGAGGGAAGGCAGAGGGAGCAATTCATACCTAGGGTTAGGGGATAAATCACACAGCAAAAATGTCTCAAACCTCTGAAGTTAGAGGAAACCTAAGTGATGGATCCAGACTAGCTGACTGATTCCTGGAGAATAAGGATAAATGGGAACAACTTAAATTAATGTTTTCTAGCTTAACAAGGCATCCGCATATTGCAGCTCAGTCTTGCTTTGTCTCTCTGAACACTGGCTTGCTTCACATAGCAAGAAAGACTGTGAATCAAAAAATGCTCTTCAGTTTCCCATTCTTGTCTGCTTGTTTCTTTTCTCATAATTGTGTTTTGTAGGAAATACAGTATTAGCAAACATCTTTTGATGTTTAGAAACTTGTCTTATAAACAGTTTTAGCTTCTAGTTTTGCACCACACACATAGATGCACCCACAGGCATTTCTTATTGAATTCTTATTCCTGTAAGCTCAGATACTGGCTCTGTAAAATGCATATTTGAAAAAAATAATAAATGTAAAATACATTTATCGCTCCCCTTCAGCTCCTGTCTCTGTTTACATTTGTGATCTGATTCAGCAATCTGCCTATATTGAGCAGATCATACCAATAAGTCAGTTACTTTTTTAAATGTGCACATTCCCTAATCCTTTTAAAAGTATAAAGAAGAATGTTTAGCAATTGTAGGTGACACAGTTTCCATGGCATTCTTTGGGTCTTTCTTCCAACAGATTGTATTAAGTACATGAAGACAAACTCTGTGTGTTTATTCATTATATGTTTTCATTTTCAATACTAAAATAAAGCCAAAAAAATCTGACAAAGAGGTAAGAAGTAAGTTGAATCTTTTTATCAGGTAAGAGCTCGTTTTTCTCCTTTTTCTTCCCATTAGCCAAATGCAGATTGCATGGATGATATACCTCCAGACTTGGAAGCATCCATAGGAGGACCACCGACCAACCAGATCACAGGAGCCAGTGACATTACCGTGAACGAAAGCTCTGTCGCCCTGGATCCCCCAGCCCGGACTGTGGGAGCACTACAAGTCATCCAAGACGTAGACTCCTTTCCTCAGGCTGGTGAGAGTAACTTCACAACAAGCAGTAAGTTCCAATTTCTAGCAGGATTTGCACTGAAATAAATGTCTAGAAACCCCAACGACAAACCCATCTCTAGTGAGCAGCCTTTGAAGGCTTTTCATTGGAGCAATGGCCTTATTTTAAGCCCAGCAGGAATCTACAGGGTAAGTAAATTTAATATCATGTGTTCTGCTATACTGGACTGATGGTCAGAGTTCCTGTACTTGGAAGCCTGAGTGAGTTAAATAACACTAATGATTTGTACAATAACAAAAGGAAAATTTTACATGTTTTCAGTGTCTTTAGTTTTCACTTGTGTAAGATATGTAAGCAGTAGCATTTGAACAAGTAATTCTCAAAATGTCTGCATGTCTCTCTGTTCCTAAAAATTATGTTCTCTGTTGAAAATCTGCTTCTGACTCTTTAAAAGAAATGTTGTCAGCTGTTTTGAGTGAAGACTGTGCTAGTCTAAAATTCTCAATTTTAGGCAAAATAGCAGATCAGTAGAAAATACCTATCTATTTGATACCAGTTGGTGTATTGACAAGACTGTTATAGAAAATCATCAGATATACTTGAAGAGAGGTAGAAGAATGTGATAAAATACAGTTTTGTGTAGGTTCTGGAAAAAATACACATTTTCAGTGGTTTCTAGGTACTACTATGGTCCTGGGCATGAAAAGGAAGGTAAGTAATAATATTATATGTAAAAGGCAGGAGATGGCACTAGGCTGAAATGATTTTACATTACTCTTCCTACTCTGTGGAGAGACTTGATCATCCCATTTTCTCTCGTGTTGTCATGCCAGTGTCACGGAAGTGAAAATAACTTCTAGAAAGACTGGACTTGTGACCTTAGATACTGGCGACCCGGATTTTTACATTCTGTTTTGTGGATTTCAGGTTTCAGGTTTGGTCCTTTTATGGTCTAAGTTCTGGATCGAGCAAGGGGTGAGCAGCAAGGTTATAATCCCAGCCATCTTCCATGGCCAGCTGCCAGCTCGGGCCACTCAGTTTTCTCAACTCTCCTTGAGTGTTGGCAAGAGATGTTCAGAACAAGATGGGATTTTGTTGCTTCCAATAATTGTTTTGCATTTAAATGCATTTAAGGCTGATTTTAAAAACAAAGGAAAGATGGCATCACAGTGTAATAAAGATTGGGCTAAATGCTGATCTCTGTTCTGCCCTTTAGCACTCCAGTAGCAAGTAGATCCTCTCATGGATAATGGTCCATGCCCCACAGTTCTCTGCAAGATTCACACTGTTAAGGCTGGGAAGGAGGGCTATGCATGCCCTTACCCACACAGCTGTATGACACATGCTGGGAAAAGCCAGCAGCCTGGTCCCAGGCCCAGCATGAGAGCAGTCTGTGCTTTTCATCCCAGGATCTTCACAGGCTGAGAAGCAGCTCTTCTGGTTTCTCAGCAGGCATAACAATGGTGTTGAGGCTGCCAGGGAGCACAAGAGCTTGGTAACTCTCCAGGCACTCTCTTCCCTCCAGATATGTTTCAAGAGATTGCAGAAGCACCAAACACATTTTCAATTCATTTTCCAAGTTGCCAGCTAAGTTAAGGTGAAAAGCCTTCTCAGAGCCAGCAGAATTCTGCAAGGCTACAAAGATGCTTGATTTTTCCTTGGTGCCCTTTGTTTTCCACCTTACCCTCCATTTTTCCCGTTACCTTTGATAATATTGGACAATAGATCTGAAGACTGGACAATCCTGAGGGCTGGCAGCAGAGCCCACGGACAAGGAACTTGCACCAAGATCAGGCACACAGACAGCAAAGTACGGAGCATCAGGAGATCATCACCTGAAGAGACTGGCCAGGCCTAGGGAAGGACTGTGAAAAGAGTTTTTTCCTGGTTATATGAGAGAGAGCAACAGAAGAGAGCAGGGAGAGAAAACTGGCAGATGACCTAAGCTCTGTGAAGGTTGCAAACCTCACACTGTCAGAGGTGTGGGTGGGGAAGCAGGCCTTTCCAGTGGCTTTGAGAGGAAGGAAGGCCTGAGGAAAGCTCAAAGCGCCTTGGGACCTTCCAAAAGCGAATGTATACTGCCTATGCTGTGGTTGTCACACAGTCACTCAGGGAAATCTGATTTAATGCTTAGTTAGCTGCTGTCATTCATTCATCATTGATGTGTAGACATGAATCTTCATCTGAATTTCTCATCTAAAGGGCAATGTAGTACTTGAATATTTGTCAGTGATGGATGAGCAAGTTTCCCTGCTGTCATCACCATATCCAGCATGGTGCATTTTGCAGTAGTTCCCAGAAAAGTCACTTAGTCACTTTTTGCAGCAGAGCTGCAGCAAAGAAGAGGTCTTTGGTTAGGGTTAGGGGGACTGAGTTCCAGCAGTTATGGGAATTTGACTCTTTAGTTGCCTCATGTGAATTTGGAGAGTTCAGGCAGCCTGAAAGATAGAACTTGGCATTGTAGGCAATCTGCACTCTTAAGGCAGTGAAAGGGGAACATCCAGGACCTTATGTATAGTTGTGGTATGAATCCAAATGCTAACTACATCAGAGAGGGCAACTGTAGGCTAAATAACTGGGTCATAGCTGTCAGAGTAGATGGAACTTTATAGGCATTGTGTCTGTTTATTGTATTTCTCATATCCAGAATGCTCTGTTACACAACCACAGAGCATGCTGAGCTTGCCCTTTCTGTGAACTAGCCTGCCTGGGAATTTTTAAGTGATGACATTGATTGCTCCTAGGAATCTCTGCTGAAGTTGCTAGGTTCTGGCCTCTTAATATAGCATTACTGATGCAAGCCTACTCCAAGGCTGAATCTGCATTAAAAGTTTTTTCCCCCTTGTTATTGAATCTGTGCAGACTCCAAGACTCCAGTGCAGCCTTGATGTGGCCTCCTGCACCCAGCACCACAAGGCCTTGCATCTTGCCTTGTTCCTCACAAAGTTCAGTGGTCCAGGAGGTAAAGGACTTGCCACCTTCTTTCCACCCACTTCTGCAACACTTTTGACTTCATATTGTTGTTACATTCTTTTATGTCTGTTGATTAATCATTCTGGTATTGTTGTCTTGGTTTGGGTTTAATTTCCCTTCCTGTGTTTCCAGTGATTATTCAGAACCAGAAGACCTCCCACAGTGTGTCTGGAGGGAGGGTATTCCCACAATACTGTTCACATTGGGTAAAATTCTGTCTCCATGGTGGCAAATCTCCTGCCTACTTCAGTGGAGCCAGATTTTAATTTCTGGAACTCAGCCAGTGCTTTTCTTCTTATTTCTGTGTGTATGCTCAGCAGACATCTTGCTTTCTCTCCCTCCCTTTTGCTCCCCATGCTCCTGGTATCTGTGGGACCCTCAGAAATGTAGTGTACTATGAACATCTGGATGGGACTAAGCCCTAGGGTTCCTTGCTAAACCAAGAATATCCTTTTTAGTAGCACTGAGCACTTAAAAATGGGCCAACATTTTCTCTCATCTGCCTTTTAGCAAGATCCAAGCCTTCATCAAGTCTCTTGGGCATATCCACAGCCCAAAGTCTCTTCAGTATTTAGTCTTAGTGACTGTTTGCCCTCTGTGGTGGAATATTTTGTAGGATCCTGGGATAGCATGTTGTTATTTCTGTAACAGGTTGCTGAAAAATTATTGATGGAAAAAAAACGAAAAACTGGAGGTTTTTTTTAAAAAGAGGGGGAGAGTGGGTGGGGGAAAATAGTGTGAAGTATGTAAGAGTTCATCTCAGCTGACTTTACTGCTCTGATTTTTTCAGCTCTCCAGAGCATATGACAGATGACAACCTAAGGATCTTTTTCAACAATAATGTATCAGAGAAATCTGCGGTGCCTAATTTTTAGTAGTGAGTTTTGCAAAATGTTAACATTTTTGGAAATCTCAGTGCAGGTGGAATTTCCTGCTCTACATATGATATGAGTGTAAGCTGGACTTGGCTAAGATCTGAACTTGAAGGAGCTCTGGCTACACCAGCTTCAGAGGGTGGATTTAAGATTTGAGGAGACCATTGCAATATTTTTTGGGTCAGGCTCAGCTGGATTGAATAATATGGTTAAAAAAAGGTAGTTTTCTGAGAAAGTAGCATCTAGATATTCTGAAGGTATGGTGACACTGGCAGATGAAAAGTAATTTCATATTCTAGTAGTTTCTATATTCTTTTATAGCATCCATTGTCATTTATCTCTCTCAAGCAGTTACTAATTTTTGCAGTAAATAATGCACACTGTCTTTGCCAGTAAAGTTTATCTCTTCATAAATACTTCCCATTTTTCAACTTAGACAAGCTTTTATGCTCCATTCATCCATTCAGCATGTTCCATCTCATCCCACCGCATAGGGCCTCAGAAATCCCATTAGTACTATCTCTGTGTCTGGAGGGAGATCCATAAATAATTCTACTGTGCACATGAGCAGGACTTCTAGTGTGAAAAACCACAAACTTTCCCCCAAGGTGTCATATCACCTGCAAAGTCCACAGAGTTTGGCACACTATACAACAGTATGGGCAGTCTAGACAATATCAGTAGTTCCTTTTCTGCCTCTCATTTTGTTCTTTCCATAAAACCCTGCCAACGTACAGCTCATCGTGACTGTTAGGACCCTTTCAATTCTCTTCTGATAGCTCTTCATTAAATCTATTAATGTAACTTTTCAGGTAATTATTTTGATCTGGGTATGTCTAAAATATCTTTCTGAAGTGTAGTCAGCCTTTGGAAGAGGATGAAAGTGCATTATAAGAATCTGATCCACTGTTGTCTTGTAACCATTTGACTGTTCCTCCGTGCTATGAATAGTAGGGTTTTATAGGTGGAATGTAAAGGGGGAGGAAAACGTGGAAAAACTCCCTAGATACTAGTTAATGCAGCAAGTTATTAACACTTGCATTAGCAAGTCCTAATACTGTCCCAGAGAGAGAATACTGATGGGACCTAGTTTAAGACTGAGCAGACTGGGTCCCATGTGCCTGGCATGTGACATAAGTCCTGGTGGTTCTACTAAAATCTTGTGGGGATATTGTACTAAATAATTGTCATGGACCAAAA